CTGTTTGTGCCCCGAAACCCTGTCGTCAAAATGCGTCTGGACCCATTTGTCAAGGGGAGCGGGGCCAGATGGTATCGGCTCACGTTTGCGTTCATGAGATGCGTGTTGCGATGGCGGCCAAATCCCTTGTCACTGAAACAAGGCATGGCTTCTGCCAAAAGGTATGTGGGCCTGGAAAAAGGAGCATGTCCAAAAGTGCGCCTGCGAATTGCAGAAGTAGGCTTTGTCGAAAACGTCACACCTGCCCTTATGACAACCTGACGCCGACATGTTGAACTGCCCAAATGGCCGAACTTCACGATGTATCGGTCGTCCATACAAACAGGCCATTTCCGGCTTGTTCACATACTCCACAGGCCACAGGCCACAAGCCACATGCCACTTGCCGCATGTCGCATGTCGCATTTCACATTTCGCATTTCACAGTTCACATTTCACAGTTCACATTTCATATTTTACATTTTTAAATTTCACATTTCACATTTCACAGTTCACATTTCACATTTCACAGTTCACAGTTCACATTTCACATTTCACATTTCACAGTTCACAGTTCACAGTTCACAGTTCACAGTCTACATTTCACATTTCACAATTCACATTTCACATTTCACAGTTCACATTTCACATTTCACAGTTCAAATTTCACATTTCACATTTCACATTTCACATTTCACAGTTCACAGTTCACAGTTTACATTTCACATTTCACAATTCACATTTCTCATTTCACAGTTCACATTTCACATTACAAAGTTCACAGTTCACATTTCACATTTCACATTTCACATTTCACATTTCACAGTTAACAGTTAACAGTTCACAGTTAACAGTTAACAGTTCACAGATCACAGTTCACAGTTTACAGTTCACAGTTCACAGTTCACAGTTCATAGTTCACAGTTCCCATTTCACATTTCACAGTTCACATTTCAAATTTCGCATTTCGCATTTTCCATTTCACAGTTCCCATTTCACATTTCACATTTCACATTCCACAATTCAGAGTTCACAGTTCACAGTTTACATTTAACAGTTCACATTTCACATTACAAAGTTCACAGTTCACATTTCACATTTCACATTTCACATTTCACATTTC